TTATAACAAACAAAGTGAAATTTGAGAATCACATATAACCTATGTTTACAGAAAAGTCTGCTGGCTGATTGCAGTTATTGTCTCTGTCCCTGAAAACTGTTTAACAGTACACCTCCATAACATTAGCGTAATAACAGCAATTAATATACCACAGCCACCATTTCAAACTTCAATCTTTTGGTCAACACATGTGTGAAATTGATTTGAGGACAAGGAGGGAAAACTTGGTTGTAGAGGGCTTTGTAAATTGTATTTGTAAGATGTCTCTGAAAACTGTTTCCAGCCACTTTCAACTACTTAGACTCAGTGAGCTGGCGCTTTTGTAACAAAGCTCCAGTTGCTAAACTGGAAAAAAGCAAACAAGTGCCCTCCATTTGGTTCTAATGAAAAATAAACACCCGTAAGTCAACTGTTCGGCAAAATAGACGTGCTTTCACTTAAAAATAAATGTCATTCTAAAATAATATATATTAGTATATACTAAAACAGTGGATAGCGTTGAAGGCGCGCTCTGATTGGCTAATCAAACTCTGAATATCCTTTGCTATTTACCTCTGAGCAACTCGGGAAAAAATGGCGTCCCGGTTTGCATCCGTGACAAGCGAAGAAATCACTTAAATTAACAACGGTGGTGTATATTATCTCACTGTTTTAGTATATACTAAAACAACTATTCACCTCAGTCTCGGTGGTTAGCGGTGGATATTTACCTCACCACTTTGCAGCTTGTAAATATCCACCACTAACCACCTCCACTTTGGTGAAAAGTTGTTAACTATCCATTGTGCTTCTCATTATGCATGCACACACTAGGAAGCATTTGAAAACTGTTTGAACTCAGGAGCAATGAATACAACCTGAGAGGAACTCAAATCTTAAAGCAACCAAATGGGAATGCATCAATTTACAGCTTAAAATCATAAAGGTACATTGCACCTAAATTATGAAAGTCAAAACTGGATAAAATGAAGCAGCACTACATCTTTTGGGGCTTTTAAAACTGAGCAGTACAAGAAATTGAGACTCCCTTGGTCCATCTAGTCCACATTTTTTTAAACTCTTTTATACCGACATTTAGATTTCTATTTGTCTTTTGTAATAATTATAATTATAGTACCAAATTTGTAAGCTCTGTCGGCAGAAAATGCATCACTCAACTAACTCAATCTTTATTTTTATATCACATTAATTAAGTCATTCTACTTTGATTTGTCTTCGGTTTAATACCAGAAAGTTAGCTTGTGAGTGTTGCTTACAAATAGCTGAGAGTATTCACACAGTAAACTAGTTTGTACACATGTATGTATTTGAATATTATACATGTATTATTTCTGTCTTTGACTTGTTTGTTTGTTTCCAACTGTATGGGCTTTTGAGTGATTCTGTAATGGAGGTCCTGTGCTTTAAAATCTTTCTCTCAATATGTAATGACTTCTGTATTTCCTTGTAAAGGCACCTTGAAGAGGCACCTTCTAGTTTTCAAGGAGGAATTCTCACAGAGTTTTCATTTTTATGACCTTCCTTGAATTAAAAGCCCACCTCTTAGGGGAAAGGAACACATATTATTTGACCTTGACACATAAAATGTGTGCTGTTTAATAACCATAAAGTTCAGGACACAAGGAAACCTCAAAACCAATAAGCAAATATTGATACTGTTTGCAGTTCAGTTTTCTCATGCTTTATTAGCTCTTTGTAATAACCACAAAAATATTCCATAAGTATTCCCAGTGTTCATTGCATTCTGTGTTTCACAGTAAGCTTGAACTACACAGTCATTAGCCCTTTACACCCAACATCAGTATGCATATTCTCTGCACTGTTCTGTATGCATTCCCTGAGGTGCTGACAAGGAGAATTTGTTTAACAATCAAGAGCTTCTTTAGTTGGTGATCATTTCCTTTATGTTTGTGACTGAAATGTTTGATTCAGGGCTGATATTGTAAGGAGAAATTAGATGCTTTAAGAGGCAGTCTTAGTGGTTAAAGGGTTAAAGCATATAGGAGTGAAGTCACTTTCAGTTTATCTCCTTGCACCTGCCAGTATGAATAATACTCATGGTAGGTCAAAGGTGAAAAAATTAAAGAGGGCATCTGGAATCTTCTAGAAAACTTTATCTGGAGTAATTTGTTATATGGCAAAGATTCTTGCAATTACTGGCCTTTAATGGAAACTGACTAAAAATCATTCATATGCTCTAGTATACACACTTATTATAATTCTAACAGGCCATTTCTGAATTACCTTTGGCCTCTTGGTGCTCAGCCTCTTTTGTTGTGAAAATGAGTTTAATTTGCATGTGAATGAAAACTTATTATATAAAAGGATGAGCATAAGGAGTCGCTTTGAAAATGAGGCCAAAGTTAATTTGGAAATGGGCAATTGTTGGTCGACTGTTTACAAAGAGAAAACTTCACATTGTAAATATTATTCACTCAACATCTGATGTCATTCCCATTTTTTTCGTTAGCTTTTAAAACTGAAGTACCTGGAAATCTTAATTTTTTTTCTTTTAGAAGTGTGCCACTTTTAAAATGGCATCCTGTTTTCAATCATCTGGAGAAAATCACCTTTCATACTCGTCACAAAAGATATTACAAGTTACAATTTTGGCGTCAGAGTGGGGATCAAGCTAAGGAGGACTTTCCACCATTAACAGAGAATTGGCCATACAACTTGCCAAATGGCCAGAGGTTCAAATTACTCTGTTTATGCCACAATGCAGCGAAGAGGACAAGCAAGCAGCCCTTGACCACAAAATTAGAATTGTGAAAGCAGAAAGGCGGCCTGGATATGATGAGCTTGAATGGCTGAGCTTCCCACCAGGTAACTTGAAAGTTGATGTGATTGTTGGTCATGGTGTTACGCTTGGTCGTCAGGCACAAGTTATCAGGGAGTCGCTGAACTGTAAGTGGGTTCAGGTCGTTCACACCGACCCAGAGGAACTGGGCATGTTTAAGTCCTACCAAAACCCAATTTCAACGGGCGAGAAGAAGCACAAAGCAGAGGTGGAGCTTTGTGAAATGGCTGACTTTGTTGTGGGAGTTGGACCAAAACTTAGCGAGGCCTTCCGTTCATATCTTAGCTGGTGCAAGAAAGATCAAACTATCCTTGACATCACTCCTGGTGTTTTTCATGAATTTGTGGATATTGAACACGTTGCCAACGAGAGGAAGCGGTG